AATATGTTCCTCCGACACTGACAATTAACCCATGGATGTAAGGTGAAATCAGAAAGCAGGGTGACCCGATTGAGTTATGCAGGGGGGGAAAAAACCCCACCGCTTGTAATCGCAACGGTTTAATTCAGATGCCGGATCTCTTCCCGAGCCACCTGTACGAACAGCCTGCGCTGAGCCCTCCAAACCAGAGTTTCCCCGCACTCCATCTGCTCGCCCAGCTGGAGGCTTGGGGGTTGAACCAAGCCGCCATTTGCATATCTGCAAAACTGGGATGGGAAGTTCATTATTCAGGTAGTTGAGCGAGCCTGAAAGCTCTTGGTGCAGGATGTGCTTTTACATACAGAGGGTTTTTTTTCACCCTCCCAAGCATAAGGTTTGGTTTACAATAACAAAGTCAAGATGTAGAAATGTGTACCTGGAGATGCAGTTATATTTAGCACCGCATGTAGGTCTCGTTGCCAAAGCTTGAAACTTAGTTCTCAGTGAGATGAGGGTGAGAGGAGACGGATAGCAACAGCGCTTATTCTTATGGACTGCTTCCAAGTGCTTTACCGCCCTCTCTTCAGTGGTTTACAAAGTCAGCCTTTTGCCTCCAACAATCTGGGTCCTCGTTTTGCCAATCTCAGAAGGATGGAAGACTGCATCAACCTTGAGCCGACCCTCACCAGCTGGGCTCCTTAGGGCCCCAACGGGAAGCAGTTGCTGGAGCTAAGCAGCCACCAGGAGGAAGAGTTGGCAAAACGGCTCAGTTCAAATTGGATCTGACCGAAAAGGAGGCTCAGCAGAAGCTCCTCACTGAGGACTAGGAGCATAGGCTTTCCAAGCAGAGGGAAGATCTGCGGGAGTGCAAGGCCAGGTTCCGGCATCTGGAGGCTCAGCGGGCTAAGATGGTCAGCCAGTTCCAGGCCATGATGCAGTCCCACTGGAACAAGGCTCTTTGCCACCAGCAGTGCTTCCCTCCAGCCTTCGCCCAAAGCCCCCCACTGAAGCAGACCCCAAGTCGGAATTTCTGCCCCCCCCTGCCCCGCAGAAAAAGACCCCAAAGAGGGAGACTCTCTGCAGCAACACAAGCGTTCATTGCACATATCTGTCCCATCGTCTGTAGTTTGTGGACCCCTGATTTAGTCCATGGCTGTCCAACCTTGGAAGACTTGTGGGTTTCAACTTGCAAGGTGATCACCATTTGCAACCTTCCAGCCAGCTTCCAACAAACATTGGGGAAACCACATGATTCGGTTATCAACCATGTCATTTGCTTAACGACTCTGGTGAAAAGGTGGTAAAGCCGCGTGCAATCACACAATGTCTCGCTTAACAACCAAACCACTTAACATCAAAGATTCCGGTCCCTATTGTGGGCGTAAGTCGAGGACTACTGTAGTGGTCCCTGTTTCTATTGCAGCCTGACCCCCGTGTACCAGAAGCTTCCGTGTCTTTTTCTTTCCTGCTCCTCCCTTGGAGAGAGGGACGTTTGAAGGCTGGGCAGAAGGGTTCCTGCAAACAGCCTGTGTACCTACCCGGTCAAAAGGGATGCTGTATTTTTTCAAGATGGACGGTGAAATGAGGGTCATCTTGTGTCGCAGGAAGGCATCGCATCCTTGAGAACTCCCAGGAAAAAATCCTACAAAACGAAGGGGGGGGGGGGAAACAAGAGTTAAGGATCACCAGGTCTCAAGAAATACCCGCAATCTCCTTGACCAACAAAAATGAAGTTGCCAATAATCTCAAAGGTTATCGGGTATGCAAGGAACACGTTTTTAAAATTTGCCCCAGCTGTGAAAGGTGGATCACAAAGAGGTTCCTATATCAGTCAGGGCCTTGCCTGCTTCAGACAAAGCATTTCACTCTCTCTAAACTGAAGGCAAGATGACTTAAGAGGCCAAATTAACTATTAATTTCTAAATTTTTATATGTACTGTTTTTATAGTTTAACATTTTATTGAGGACTGCCCAGAATCCCTCTTTAAGGAGATGGGTGGTTCAAAAATGTAATAAAGAAGCCAAAAAGCAAATGCACATACATACATACATACATACATACATACATACATACATACATACATACATACAAACATACAAAGCAGAGGTGGTATTCTGCCGGTTCGCCCCAATTCAAGTGAACCGGTAGCGGCGGGAGGCTCCACCCACCCGCCCAGACGTCATCATGGACACTGCGCATGCGCAGAAGTGCCATGAGCAAAGTGAGCACACATGTGCGCTCCCAGTAGCAAAGGTAAGGGAAAACCATTACTGATGGATAAAGTCAGCAGGCAGAGTCCACCAGTGAGTGCAATGGATCCATATAGCTCTGCTTGGGGTATCGCAAAGATAGGAAAACCGGTTGGGAACAGGTGAGTCCACCCTTGGCTACATCTATAGAAACATCCCATGATACTTCTCAC